TCATCGATCTGTTCTTGGTCAAACGATATATAACTGCAGTTAGATAGAAGACATATATATATATTTTTAAGTCCAGAACAGGCAAATATACAGTGACAAAATATACAGTGACAAAAAGCAAATAAGTGATTGCCCAGGGCCAAGAGGTGGGGGAGAACAGGTGAGTGGGAGAGAAATGGGGAGTGACTACAAATGGCTATGTAGCTTTTTGAGAGGGTAGTAAAGATGTTTTAAGTCCAGAACAGGCAAATATACAGTGACAAAAAGCAAATAAGTGATTGCCCAGGGCCAAGAGGTGGGGGAGAACAGGTGAGCGGGAGAGAAATGGGGAGTGACTACAAATGGCTATGTAGCTTTTTGAGAGGGTAGTAAAGATGCTCTAAAATTTACTGTAATGATGGTTGCACAATTCTCTGAACAAACTAAAGATCACTGGATTGTACATTTTAAATAAATGAATTGTATGATATGTAAATTGTGTCAATAAAGTGGTTTTTTAAAAAGGTGGGATAACTCAAAGTGTTGAGGATGATCTATAAAAAGAGACATGTCAGCAATTCAGTGTGTGGGGGGGATTTTACAGTCATTTGGTAAACATATGGCATTACCTGGTGAATCTGAACATGTGCGTATCCCATGACTATCAATTCCACTCCCACCACATCCGCTCAACATATGCATGGCCATTATGCTTGAAATAGACATAAACTGGAAACGAGACAATTGTCTATAATGGCTGGCAGTCTTTCTATTCTTAAGAAAGGTGTATCTGCCACTGTTCTTTCTTAGTTTTCAAAGCAAAATCTGTGCAGAGATACTTGGGTCTGGAGGGTCATTTCCATAAAGAGAGTTTTGTGTGCTCATGACTTAGTAAGAGAGTTACATATTTCTGCTTGATATTAGACTTCTGGATTTCCCTTAGGACTTCTTAAATGCCCGAACATGTCATGAAATAGTGGTAAACAGAGGAGAGAATTAAGACAATAGTACAAATGATAGCAAGGACTTTTTTCTGAAACAGAAAAATCCTTAGTGATACCTACATCAATACTCAATGAAGTGAACTTCATGGCTTTGTATAGTTTGTTAGACTACACTTCTCCTAGAAGTAACAGGGAGAAAGGTTTGGCTAGGCTATTAAAAAGTAATGAGAGTGAGAAGATAGTGACAATGAAAGGACACAGAAGTGGGGGAAGATGGAAAGGCTGAAGTAGAAAGAGAAATGTAGATAAGCCATTCCTAATCATATAGATGTGGCTATCATGTGCAATTTTCTAGGTCCCACAATGACATCTTCCGACTGTTCCTGTGCTAGCCGAGTCTCATCCACACAAGAACGTCAGTCTTCATGCTAACTCCTCTGCTCTACCCTCCACTCCTCCAAACATTCCAGCAATTCTAAGATCACTAAAGGTGAATCAATAATGCTTTCTTGAAATTCAGTATTGTATTCGTCCATACGGTTCCACTTAAGTACATTTTGTTATTTACATGCTAAATACTTATTTTGATTTACTTAACTAATGTGGATACTTAACGATGTTTACAAATAGACACCCACGCATGAGAGTATTTTTGAACTGATAAACTGAGATAGAATTCTCAGGGTAAAGTGATTTTCTTTTGAGGTGGACTAATGGGATCTAAAAATTCCTTTAATTAAGGCTTTTTGTTTTAACTTTACAGCTAAAATGTGCTTGCTTGTAAGGGACACTTTAAAGTGTGTAAAGGGTTAACAGTTCATTGTATTTCTGGCATCTGTGACTTTGCGTTTATAGACTGTCAGAGAAGCTGTCAGCTTGTTTTACAGAAAGCACCTACTTAACCACACGTCGCTGTAACCCTGCACTTAAGCCCCTTACCCACATTGTGAAGCCCCCAATGTGGGTGACTCTGCGTGGATGCAGACAGCCAATAGAAAAGTCTTGCATGCCTGCTCAAGAAAGGTTTATAACCACAGCTCTCCCTGCACCCAGGATCCCAGGATCTCAGAACGGGAGTTCACCTGGGTCCCGCTAGTGTTCCTGTCTCACTAGCATAATAAACTTCCTGACTCTCCATCTCTCCGAGTAACTGGAATTATTTCCTCGCCGAGTTCTAAGTGCTCCAGAAGCGCTTTCATGATGGATGTGAACTGGCTCATTCTTAGAGGAACACCAAGCAGTTGATGCAAAGTTACATGCATATTGAAGAATGTTACAGAGGCTGAGAAACTCCATAGCCAGGCGTTCCTTGAATCACTACTTACATTGTGCTTTGTGAGGTTTGAAATATTAGTTGCTATTGCTTGTAGCCAGTCAATCCATTCTTCAGCGGAGAGGCACTGAAGAATTCCACTGCAGACCCCATCCACAGCGATGACTTGAAAGGCATTCTGCCTGCAGACACGTCAGAACAAATCAGATCAAAATGTCATGTCATGTATCTTTTTGCAACTCATAACAGTGTCTGTTGAAAAGCTCTCCTTTCAAACAATATGAATATCAGTCTCCAAATTTATATTTGATTACTTCCCTTTATAAATATCTGTTTGTAAGTGGAACACTAAAAGTAGACCCAGATAACATATAATTTTGTATTAGTAGAAAGAACCCTTAGATTCAGATACAGAGAACCTTTGAAATGTAAACAATGTACTATGTAAATGCAAGATCTAAGAAATTTTAGAAACATTTTTTCCCCCAGATTGCCATAAAGTTATGTGCAGTTTATCTATTATTTTGGCTACCATCATCTCCTCTTGACATTTGTCAATGCCTCTTCTGACATACAATGGCAAGAGCGCACACATATACTAAACATCATATAGAAAACCACTTGACTATCACAAGATGCAGCATTTTGTCAGTTTTTATCTACCCTCAATCTCCATTATTCATCTTCACAAAGATGGTTTAGGGCTAGAGATTTGTGCCTCCTCTCCAGGTCTAAATGATCATGGTCTTAATTTATGGGATTGTTGTGAATTTCAGTAACACCAGACTTTTTTTTTTTTTAATGCAATGACCAATTTAACTATCCCTATGGTCTTTTATTAATTTTGTTGTCGTTATGGAAAATTAAATGATGCCATTCTAAATTGTTTACAAAAGTGCTATAGAATCCAAAGAAAGCTTCACTGATATACTATTTTTTTTTTTTTTCTGCATCAAGTTCTTGCTATGTTTAGACATAAGCTTAATGGACAGGAATAGATAAAATCCCCAAATAAATGGAAACTAACCAAATGCCTCATGCTTGAGAATTACTCTGTTGTGCAACACAATACACTTGAGAAAAATGCACAAATATATTTAAATCCCAAACAATTATGAAACAATAAAATCTTCTGCAATTTGGTACTCAAAATGCTATGTAAACTGTATAAATTTATATCTTTTCTCCAAATAAACAGTTTTTCTGGCTCTTCTGAGTTTTGTAAGTAGTATTCCTGGTTATTAGACATGATTTTTCTTCCTGAAACAAAGAGGAAAACCCTCAAAGCCTATGTCTGCCTCAGGTTCACCCTGGCCTCTTGCCACTCTTGCCTCCCTTTAGACTTGTTCCTGTCTCAGAACTGGGCACATGGGTTAGCCTGTGGCATCCAAGGCAATCTACATCCAAATTATTGATATTTTTAGAGAAATTAGTTCTCATATCCTTGACAGAGCACTTTCTATGGAAAACAGGGTAGTGCTCAGATATAGTTTTCTATTTTATCTTAAAAATACATTAAAAGGCTTTAGGAAGTACAACTATTGTCTGACTCTTTGAAATAAGGTTCTTCTGAATTTGCAACAAGAAAAAAATATGCATAGCTCTAAAAGAATATTACAAACTCACATGACATTCTTAGCTTTAATTCTGATATTCAACAGCGAGTAATACGTTTAAAATAACCATACAGAAGCCCAACCATCCATGGAAAATGAGAACTAATTTGAGTCTAGTAATATACATTTCTTTCTGCTCTCTGATTATTATAACCATTGCTTCATGTACCATAAATTAAAGCATGTCTTGAACATATTTGTCCTGTCTGCTTTCAATGAATCATGGCAGCTGGATATTTTTAGTTGATTAAAGTCAATCCACTTAGATCAAATCTACAATCTATGTAATCATATATGTTACATAATTCCTAGATAAAAGAATTCTGAGGGACTAATCTTTTATAAGCCTAAATGTATATGTTAAAACATATCACTTTTTACATTCTGTTTTAACTTTTCAAAATTGATGGAAACCCTTTTATGAATATAAGTAAAGTTCCTGAACAGATGCATCATTTACACATGACCTCTTACAAAATAGGCTGATCATAAAGATTCTAGTCTGGATTATAAACTTTTACCTCTACTACTGAATAAATGAGAACATTGACACTTTAGTCCACTTAGTTATGCCACAACTTCCCCTAAAGAAAAATGAGAATAACATACTTAACAAATTTAACTAGTATTTACTGTGTAATTGGTAGGCTCCAAGAACTTTCACATATCACTGAAGATCTATGAATAATTTTCCTCTGAACAATCCATTAACACGTAGTCTTGATTGCAATCTTTCAGTGTTTATGGAAAATGTCCCCACATAGATTTATTGTTTCTTTAACCACTTAAAAAAACTGCAGCACTTTTGTTTTTATCTATAGCTTTTAGGAAATGTAATTCTTTGACTCGAGATAACCAGTAATAGCCAACCTTCTTTGTTTCATCTTATTTAATGGTATAGGGCTAAAATCAATAGACTCCATTACCTATTAATTTAGTACTGTGAGACATTAAACTTTAACAACATTTATAATAATCTTAAGGATTTCCAGGCAAAATATGATTCTTAGTTTCATAAACTGTATTATATGTATACATACTTTTAAAAAAACTGCTTTTCAGTTTAACTATATAAAGTGCCAGATAACCTGAAGTTTTGAGTTCAGATTAATTTTTCCTCTCTCCACTCGATATTATTTAAGGATTCTTGGTCATTGCTCTGGTGATAAAAATTATTCTCAAATGTTGCTTAATTTGAAGGGTTTACTTCTTTAAAACAAAAATTTAGTCTTCTGTGTATGAAAAACATTGCTAACTATAAAAATACATAAATAAATTTCAATCTAACATATCCATAAATATACATACATCTCTAATTAATAAAGTTTATAATTCATGTTTGGATTCATTGTTGACTATATTATAGAAAGCTATATATGGGAAGATGTTAAACTTGTGAGGGGTGAGTCGGAGAAGGCAGACGAAGAAGGCCTTTCATTCAGGAGGAGCAATAGCTTCAGAAACTACAACATGCAAGTTTCAAGTGATTTAAAACAAAAATTTAGTCTTCTTTGTATGAAAAACATTGCTAACTATAAAAATACATAAATAAATTTCAATCTAACATATCCATAAATATACATACATCTCTAATTAATATAGTTTATAATTCATGTTTGGATTCATTGTTGACTTTATATTATAGAAAGTTATATGTGGGAAGATGTTAAACTTGTGAGGGGTGAGTCGGAGAAGGCAGACGGAGAAGGCCTTTCATTCAGGAGGAGCAATAGCTTCAGAAACTACAACATGCAAGTTTCAAGT